CGCAGCCACGCCCTCCGGGGCGCTCTGGCGCCGCCCTGCGGCCGGCGCGCCGCGCCACGCCATTCCCCCGCGAGCTGGGAAAAACGAGCTGCTGCTGCCGATCGCCCCCGGCGCCGGTATGCGCCTGGAACCTGCGGACAGCTGTCCGTGAGGGACCGGCCGGGCTGAAGCTGCTCTAGCAGCCCTCGGAGGAAACAGGAGTCGTTTTTAACGGCCGCAATTTCCTGTACTCTCACAGAAAAAATGGGGTCAGTTTTTCTTACGGTTGGTTGGTTCCATTTGTCCCCCTGCTCGGCTCACCTACAGTGCTGGCGCGTTTGTTCTGGCCAGTCCTCGTCAGCAAGGTCTGACAGCTGAAGACCAGCATCCCAATTGCTGGGGACCAGGACAGCACCTGGGAGGGAGACCCAAAGGTTTTACAACTGACAGGACTGCACAAACACTTCTTGCCACGGCCAGTTCTTTGAAATTCTTTCTTTCTTCCTTTAAAGTTAATGAAACGGTAAAAAATGCTCATTCAAATACTTAATGCTTATTCACTCGTATGTTGGAATCTGCTTGTTGAGCTGCTTTCCCTGTAGAACATGAAATAAAAATAACACACTTCAACTTCCAGTTTCTATTAAGAGTAGCTACAGACTCCTTCTTTAATGAATCACAACCAAACATCAAAGAGGAATAACATTCAAAAATTTTTAAAAAAGTAAGCTTAATTCGGGACTCTAAAAAAAGGCATCTAGCACCTCAGCCTTTTAACAACACAGGTACCCCAACACCCCCTTGAGGTCAGTAAACACCGTGAGCTTCGCTTTACAGACGGGAAACACAGGTTTGCACATCGCAACGCACGCCGCAATTCTCAACCAGAGATATGGAGGTGCCCAAACCAACAGCCAGAAAAGCCGTGCTTCAGAGGGCACAGGACGTAATTCCTGCCCCTGCAAAAACAGTCATTCTGCACCTCCACCTGAACAGGGTGAGGATTTGGAAACAGATCTCACACTTCCTGGCACGGATATCACAACTCCTAAACGCAGCACCAACCTCACTCTGCGCTAGAAGCATGCACCAAGTCTTGCATCATGTTAAGACACGGTTTAACATGTTGCTTGTCGGGTGGCACTCCAGAAACACCACGGAGAAACTCCTGAGAAAGCTAACTAGAGCGAAGGGCGACCGAGGGCACAGGAGCACGGGTGTCAGATGGAAGTTCTCCACAAGCCCTCGGGAAGCGCAAGTGCATCACAGGCTTCAGGTGCTACGGACTGGACAGCCGCTGCTGTTCAAAATCACGTAGCGTACAGCGTAACGACGCCATTGTGGTTTAGTCCCAAAATCACAAAAGAACTTGACCTCTTTTAAGTGGACATATGTACTACCGAGATCCCAGGAATTCCTATTCACTCCCGTAGAACTCGATCGACGGATCTGTCAGTCAAGTGTGAGGTTTCCATTAAATGATGCTAACTACTGTAATTGGACAAAATTCAAAATAGCACTGAAGACATCATGTTTTTACAATTACATGTCATTACCCAATATATCAAAACATGCAGTTTGTGCAGGTATTTCAGTAACACTGAAAATAAAAGGTAATCTCCCACTTTCTTTGCTTCAAGCCATGTAGATGGCATAAAAACGTAGCAAAGGAAGGGCTCGATTAGTGTCAATGCTTTACAGTACACTTGCTGTCTCTAGCAGACAGCAGCGCCTTCATTTTGCTGATCTTGGCGTTACAAAAGTAGAAATAGATATTCTATAGGTCCACTCTATCAGCTTTACAGTATTCCAGCTATGCATCCAAAGAAAACAATTCATCCTTGAGGGATTACACCTTGAAGCCACTCAAAGTAAAGCTTTTCTTAAGGTGTTGCAGTTATTTAAATGGCTGGAATACTTAACAGCCAAAACCAAAGTACTGTAAAAGCATATTCCAGAGGTTTTATTGTACTATTATTAGTAGCAGTCAAAATATGCTTAGTATAGAAATCCATGTTTATTTGAAAAAACTGTAAATGATACTTCACAATATAAATTAAATCTGCTTACAGAGTCTTGGTGGCTGAAGTAGCTGCAACTTGACTGCTAACAGGTAATTTGCCAGTAAAACATTAAATGGGGTCTAACCTGCTAGTATAACGTTGAACGGGATCAGGGTGTCGCTTATATTGCGAGCGTTAAAACATCCCATAAAAAATAATCAACCAACTACTTTCTCTCCTACTATGAGCAACAGCGAACATTATGGGCAACACGCCTGAAACGGATGATCCAACTTTTTGATTGAAATTTTTAAACAACTTTCAACCATTCAAGTGTTATGGTCCCTATATACATCTATGTGGCTAAAAAAGACAAGGTAGACAATTGAGCACACTGCCATCAAATCGTAAGAATTACAAAATTGTCCGGTTTTAAACAGCAAATTGTACCTTAATAGTTTAATTAAAAATAGAAGAATTAGGTAGACTATTTTGCAAATAAAACAGCACACTAGTGTGCTATATATTAAGGCATACCTTTAAATGCGCACTTGTCATCTCTAACAAGTTCTATACAATTGCTACCAAGTGAGAGGACTATCATTGTCTTGCAAAACTGAGAAAGAAATACAAAATATCTGGAAGCCTACATTTTTAAAGTACAAAATTAACCTTCAGTCCTTGTGTTGAAATACTATACACGGTACAAACAGCGGTTCTCCCCTACAAGATCTCCCGAGGATTTCTTAAAGCTGGAGGTAAATTTGAAGGTTTTGATTCTTCATCCAGAAGGACCAAATCTTCAATTTCACTACCTTTGTATTTTCTTTTGCATATCTTCACAATAACCTTCTTCTTGAGGAATAATTTCAAAGCTTCTCTTGAAGCAACCGCTTTGGCATTTTCCATGCTTTTACCACAGCCAGTACCCAAGTAGACAGACTTGCACCTCAGTTCACAAACTATATTTTCTAGAGAGCTCTTATTTTGAGGCAAGTCAGCCAGTTCCTTCAGAGGAACAAAAGCAACATCTAACGTAGCCTTTACAGACTGAATGGATGAGTTTAGAAGTTCTGCGTGATTTACGTTAGGACTGAAGCCTCCAACAGCAACCAGCTTCCACGCTACAGCTTTGTAGAGTCTGTTGAAAAAAGGCTGTCTTTCCTTTGCATCTTCGCTGGTTAACGGTTTGCACAAAGCCTTAGCAGGGCTTTCACCTGCCTGCGAGCCACTCTTCGAGGCAAGCTGTGGTGAACCTGCCTGCGTGCCACCCTTGGAGGCCAGCAGGGAAGCACCTGCCTGGGCTCCACCCCGGGAGGCCAGTGACGAGGGACCTTGCTGAGCACCACTCCGAGAGGCCAGCAGTGAAGCAGCCACCTGAGTGCTGCTCTTGGAAGTCAGCAGCGAGGATCCCTGCTGAGCGCCACTCCGAGCAGCCAGCAACGAGGCAGCCACCTCAGCGCTGCTCTTGGAGGCCAGGAGCGAGGAGCCCGCCTTAGCAGCGCCCTTGGACGCCAACAGCAGTGAGGTGCCTGCCTGAGCGCTGCTCTTGGGGGCCAGCAGCAGCGATGTGCCCGCCTGAGCGCTGCTCTTGGGAGCCAGCAGCAGCGACGTGCCTGCCTGAGCGCCGCTCTTTGACACTGATGCTAGGGCACTCACTTGGTTTTTGGAAGACAGCAATGCAGCACTTGTTTGCGGGGTGCTCTTGGCAGCTAGTGACACTGTTGCTGCCTGTGGGGTGCTCTTGGTGGTTGGTGGCACCACCGCCGCCTGTGAGGTGCCCTTGGCAGCTGGTGGCCCCGCTGCTGCTCTC